TAAATCTGGCAAGAGGCTGGGAGAAGATTTCAAAGGGATGGAGGAATAATTTGCAATGACAGGTTTTTTTAAATAGATGCTCTAAGAAAAGGGAGGTCAGGGGCCTACGGTCAGAAAGAAACCTATGAAAAATTTAGTCAAGCTCAAGGGACCATTAAAACTGTCCTGGTCGCTGCCATTAGGTCAACTCTGTCCCATCCCTCTGTGTGCCTGTGACTCTTGGCCTCTGCGCATGCCCGGTGCCCGCCTCGCACAGCGTGGTGAGGTCTCAGCAGGCAGCTCTCCCAGGCGGTGAGAGAGAGGCAGGTCAGGAGGGGCTGACCTGGGGTCTCCGCCCCAGCTCCAACTGCCTGCAGGGGCATCCGCCTGGATGTCCACACTGGGCCAGTATCTGAGTGTCCGCATATCTACCTGTGTCCTTGGGGGACAGTGTGCCCTCTGGTTGTCCGTGTCTCAATCTCATCCAGTTTTTAATTCATTCATTCAGCAATCGAATAAATACTTATTACATACCTCTGTGGGCATGTCCTGCTCATCGGGGTGCCCCTCTTCGTGTCTGTGTGTCTACATTCACCCCTGTCCGCATCGCATGTCTGTCTTTCTGCATTCCATGTGTAACTCTGGGAGTCTCCCTCTCTCGCCTTGTTTGTTCATACATTGTTTCATTTTTTTATACAACATCCCAAACATCCCCTGAGGCCTCTGAGGAGTTCACGGCCTGATGAAGAAGGCGGACAACAGCCAGGTGACCATGGCTGGAAGACAGAGGTGCTTAGGGCTAAGGAGGGGAGTGAGTGCTGAGGGGTTGGTCTGAGAAGTCTTTAAGGAGGAGGTGATTTTTGTGTCTCTGGGTCTAGAGATGTGGCCCAGGACTGGAGGCTGCGTGTGTCTAAGTACGTGGGTCGTGTGTGCTGGAGAAGAGGAAGAGAAGAGAGATCAAGAGCCGAGACTAAAACACAGGGTAGGGAATAAAACGGGGTGGAAAGAGCACCTGGAAACACAAACTCCCCCAAAATTAAGGGCTGCAGGACCACATCCTCCCTCCTCCCTAAGACCCAGGAGTCCGGGCTCCCAGCCCCTCCTCCCTCAGGGCCCAGGACTCATCGTGGCCTCATCGTGAATAGCTAGGAGGAGACCAGCCCTAGAAAGGGAGGGCGGGGGTGGAGGAATCCTGCCCGGCTGGGGAGCCGAGATGCTTGGGGCTTGGCAGGGAGAACCAGCCCAGCAGAAATCAGAGCGGGAGGAACTGTCCACGGTGTCTTCACTCAGCTCCTGGCAATGGGAGTCCCCAGAGCCATCCTGCTCTACCTCTGCGGGGCCGCGCTCTGCCCGACAGGTACCCAGACTTCTGAGTCTAATGAGAAGAAGGGCTGGTTGGTGGTCTCCTGGGTCTGGGGGAGGAGGGGCTGGTACCCGCACTCCTGGGTGTTGGTCGGTGGAAGGCACTGAATCTGTGTCCTCTTCATGTCTCTTCCCCATCAGTCATTTTGTCTGGTGCCATCTTCTCTCTTCCTGCCACTTTGGCCTTTCTCATCCTCCTTGCCCAGGACCCCAATCAAGGGTACTTCTGGGGAGCCACGGGGACTCTTTACAAAACTGTCAGGGAACCTTGGCTTCATCCTCAGGGAAACCCTTCCCCCAATTTGGTGAAGGACAGGGACATATTCGTCAGGATTGGTTACAAAGACAGGGCGTTAGAGAGGTGGGAAGGAGGCTATGCGTGCAGGCAACTGACTCTGTGTGCTCATCCGCGGAAGAGAGTCTGACTTCTGTGTGTGTGTCCGTGTGTCGGCGTGTCCTGTGGGTCTCTCTCTGTGCTTGTGTGTGTTTCTCTGTACTAAGTTTCGATGTCTGGGTGTTTGAGCGAATGCTTTTCTGGGTCTGTTTCTCTCTCAGCTTCACTCTGTTTATAAAAGAGATGTGTGAATAACTTCATTTGTCTTTGTCTCTCTTCGCATTTGTGCATCTCTGTGGTCGGCAGGCCTGTATTCATCTCTGTGTATGTGAGTTCGGGTATTTTGAAGTGTATCTGTCTCTCTGTGCACTTGTGTTGCATGTCTCTATTGTCTTGTACCTGCCTATGATTTTAAATTGTATGTTCTTGTGGGTCTCTATTTTGTGCACCTCTAACTATTCCTAATTGTGTTCTCGCTACTTGTGTGTATGTGATACTTGGGTCTGTACTTGTCTCTCTCTGGGAATGACTTCCTGCGCTCCTGGATTTCTCTGTGTGAGGCTATTGGATCCATAGCCACAGGTTTTTCTGTCCGTATGATTCCGCATGTGGGTGATTTGTGCCATGGTCTGGGGGGTTTTTATGGGAGGGTCTCGCTGGTATTTGTTTTGTGTGTGAATGGATGCGTTCAAGTACCCTGTGTATACTCTGTATATACCTGTATATTTGCATAAGCCTGTATCAGTTTTGTTCTTTTGCAAATATGTCGGTGTTTCATGGTCTGCGTGGGTATCCTGGGGCGGGCTGTGTGTGTGTGTTTGTAGTAGGAGGCCTCACATCCCTAGATGTGTTTGTTTTCTGGCCTTTTAGTGCTTCTGTACATTGCGAGTTTAGTTGGGAGAGGAATGGGCAGAGCATAGGTGAATCATTTCCTCTTTATTTAAATCTTAGAGGGCTTCCTGGAAGAGGGTCAAAATCTGGAACAGCCTCAGGGGGAAAAACTAGACTGGGAGGTGCAGAGAGGCCATTACTCTGCCACTAGGTAGACACATGACTAGTGGCGGTAGCAGCGCCTGACTCTCTCAAGGCAGCAAGGCCTGTCTCCCTTCAGAGAACTGCCCGGCCCCCGTGGCTGTCATTTGCAGGGTGGAGCCCTGAGTACCTGGGACAGGCTGGTCCCTGGCCTGCTCCTCTCACCCTACACCTGTCCCTCTCCTCAGTGTCCCAGGCCCTGCAATGCTACAGCTTTCAACACATCTACTACGGGCCCTTTGACCTCAGTAACATGAAATTCCTCAACATCTCCTGTCCCCAAGGATGCTCTGAGTCCGTCCTGTCGCTGGACACTGGTGAGGGGCAAGACGTGGCAAAAAGAGAAGGGTCTGCAGAGGAGAAGGGGCGGGGGAACAAGGAGGAGACGGGCACGAGGATGAGACATGGGAGGCGGGGGAGAGGAGGAGCCGAGCGGCTGGGAAGAAGAGGAGGGGAAGGATAAAGATACAGCCGGGAGGAAGGGAGAAAGGAGGGAAGGAAAGGGGCGGATGGACGAGAGGCGGAGAAGCGGGGGAAGAGGACAGGGCACTAGGAGAAGGAGGAGAAGAGCAGGGGAGGAAAGGGGTGGCGAGGAGAGGAGGGGACGAGCGGCCGGTGGGGAGGCGGCCAGGAAAGAGGAGTTTGAAACGGGGAGAGGGAGGACAGGGACGGGCAGGAGGGGAAAAGCTAGGCGAGTGAGAGAGGAGAGTTGAGAGGGGAGACTTGAGACTGGGCAGACGGGCGGAGCGTGGCGGGAGGAGGGAGAGGAGGGGCCTGGGAGAAGAGGAAGGCTGGGGAGGAGCTGCGCACCAGGCCCCATGTCCTGCCGTCCCCAGGGTACCGCGCCTCGGTGACCATGGTACAGAAGGGTTGCTGGACAGGCCCGCCCGAGGGCCAGATGCAGTCAAATGACATGGCGCTGCCGCCCGACTACTCGGTGATGCGCGGCTGCGGGACCGACCTGTGCAACGCCCAACTGATGACTCACGACGCCATCCCCAACCTGAGCGCAGGTGTGCCAGGGGGCGGGGCCGGCGCGGGGAGGCCCGGGGAGGGCCCGGAGGGGCGTGGCCTCCGCTGGACTCCGCCCGGCTGTTGGGCCGGCGGGCGCCCAGGTGCGGGGCACGACCTGCACTGCCCAGCCTGAGGTCCGTCACCTGAGCGTGAGTCCATGCTCTCTTGCCAGCGCCTGACCCTCAGACGCTCAGCGGCACCGAGTGCTACGCCTGCGTGGGGACCCGCCCGGAGGACTGCACCCCGGAGAAGTCCCGACGGGTCCAGTGTCACCAGGACCAAAGCGTCTGCTTCCAGGGCAATGGCCAGATGACCGTGGGTAAGGGACTGGGAAGGTGGGAGGGCTTGGGCAGGGGGTGTGTAAGCAGGGCAGGCCTGGCAGGGAGGCCTGGCCGGGTCTGAGAGAGGAGCCAGCGGGAGGAGGCGTGGCTTTCCCGGAAGGAGGAAGGGATGGCTCTGGTCTGAGGGAGGGGGCATGGCCCTAGACTAAGGGGAGGGGGGAATGGAAGTAAGTCTGAGGAGCCGGTGGTGGCCCTGGCCTATGAGCTGCCTCCCTCAATTCTGACCCCTCCTCACTGCCCCTCCCCCAGGCAATTTCTCGGTCCCCGTGTACATCAGAACCTGCCACCGGCCCTCCTGCACCATCATGGGCACCACCAGCCCCTGGACAGACATCGACCTCGAGGGCTCCTGCTGTAGCGGGCACCTCTGTAACCGGGACGCTGTGAACCAGACCTTCACCTCCGCCTCGGCCACCAGCCCTCCCCAGGCGCCCCTTGTCATGGTCCTGCTCCTCGTGCTTCCCCTACTGGCTGGCTCTCTGCAGAGCCCGTAGCCAGCCCCTCCAGCCTCTTCCTGAGCAGGAGGCTGGGGGCGGGGCGCTCGCACCCCCTCTCACTGCTCCAGCCCCTGTAATATGCAAAATGATATCAAACAAGAGTTACACTCAGGTCCCTCTGGTTCCCTGCTGCTTCTCTACCGCCACCCGGCCCTCACCTGCTCAGCAGGTCCCCAGTGCCCCAGGTGGGGAGAAACAGCCACGTCCTGCCCCATAGGAAGAACAAACCTGATAATAGATACTACTTGCTGAGCACCAACCAGGCCTCGACTCGCCCGGCCCCACTCGCCCGGCCCGTGTCCTGTGGTCTCCGTTCGGAGCCCCAAACCCTCTTCATCACTGTCATCTTGAGAGGCTCAAGAGACAGTGCGCTGGTAAAAGTTAGGAGCCTGTACTCTGCAGCCGGGCCTCACAGTGAGAATCCCAGCTCTGCCATTTAGCTTGTGGGGGACTTTGGGCCAATTACTTAACGTCCCTGCACCTGTACTTCCTCACCTGTCAGGTGGAAGTGAAAATAAAATCTACGATAATGACAAAACCTACTTCGCAGTGGTCGTGGTTAGGATTTAATGAGATGAACGTGGAGTACCTGGGACACGACAGTCGCCCAGCATAAGTCGACTATCCCTATGTGACATGAGAGTTGGAGGCAGTGCTGGAGCTCATGCAGCTAGTGAATGGATAATCGAGAGAGTGACTCCCAGCCCGTCAATCAAACTCCTAAAGGATAAAAAGGCATTGAAAAGAGAAGTAGGAGGAAGGGCGCGCTAGATGGAGGGGCCGGCCTGGACAAAGAGTCGGAGGTAGGAAGGGACCCGGACACTTACACGAGCACATGAACTTCACCCTTAGTGCACATGCTTCACAAGGTCCTCTCACATCCTTTCCCCCACTTGATCTTCCCAACCACTCAAGAAGGCAGTCGAGAAGGGAGCTGCATCCCCATTTTGCAGACAAGTTGCCCAAGGCACAGTGAGAGTGATTCTCAGAGTAAGTGGCAGAGCAAAGATGGATCCCTACGCCGTCTCATTCTATCTCAACGGGCAGCCTTGTGGGTGGGAGGGCACCCCAGAAACACTGCTAGACTCCTGTGAGGTCAGGGGAGATGGATTCCAGATGTCTCCGCATCCTGACAGAAGAGGAAGCTGGGTGTCATTACTCATGCAACATCACATTTACTGAGCACCTACTATGTGCCAGGCACTGTTCTAGTTGCTGGGCATACAGCACTCAACAAAACAGGCAGAAGTCCCGACCTTCAAGGAGCTGACTTTTCTGGTGGGGGGAGCAGACTTTGGATTTCATTACAAATGTGGTTTAAAGGTGAGATGGTCAGTCTGATGTGTGAACTCGGCTAGGTGACAGTCCCAGTTATTCATTCAAATGCTAATCTGAGTGTTGCGGGGAAGGGTGTTTGTTAGATATGATTAAAGTCCATCATCAGTTGACTTTAACTAAGGGAGATGATCCTAGGTCATCTGGGCCTGATTTAATCAGTTGAAAGGCTTTAAGAGCAGAGCTGAGGTTTCCTGAAAAAGAAAGCTGCCCGCAGACGGCGGCTTTGGCCCGTGCCCAAGAGTTCCAGACTGCCCTGCTTGACAGCCTGCCCTATGGGCTTCGAGCTTGCCTGGTTGGCCCCACAATCACATGAGCCAATTCTTGCTATAAATCTCATAATGTGTATCTCCTACTAGTTCTGATGCTCTGGTTAATCCTGATACAGAATCCTTTGGAGAATTTATAGCAGAATTTATATGATCATGTATATATATATAATTATA